AAGTGTGAAATGCGAGTATATATATTATTGTTACTAACCAAATAAATGTATTTAGTCACACCAATATCATACCGTTGGTTTTAAAGCCATAAGGTATCATAAATGTCAAAAATGCTTTTAGTACATTTTTTATAAAATACCAAGTGATGGATAAATGGTAGCAAATGAGTGGAAAGATGGCGTCTGCAATGCAACAAGCTCGTCCAGAAGTTGCCTATTCAAATGCACTTTAGGCATTCAGGTTGTATGTGCTCGAAAACACAGAAGCAGACAGGTAATGATAAAGTGACGGGAGGATCAAGTCGTGCGCATGGTGGCAAGCGACTCATATATCCATAGCTATTCCAGTGCCACTGCGCCTGTCACCCAGAGACTTAAGCTGTAAGTCCCATGTGCCAGTAATTCCATCAACAACCTTACCCTTCAAAACCGGAACGCAGTCATGCTCACGGTAACCTATCACAAACTCGAACTTTTTATCCGAAGTAACGTTTGTTCGAATTTTCATTACACCGAAAACCGAATTATAACGAAACCGTTCTTCTTTCAGGATATGTTGGATGTTTATCGCTAAGACACGATTAGGTTCGGTTAGGTTAGGTTAAGTTAGGTTTTAGAGAAAAAACATTTTTCTCTCAAAATTACTATCGAGGTTATGAAACTTCGAACAGACGTTATTTCTGGAAAACGTCATTTCGGACTACAGTAAGTAACCCACACACACAGGTGGCATTACTTCCCTGGACGAAATCTTTTTCACGTGTCACAAGTAATGTAAGCATTACTGTTTAGGTATAGATGGGAGCTGGTGAAATTACTTATTTTACTTTTCAACTTATCGTCACCTTCTTTCTCAAACTCGTATCTTAAAGCACAAAGTTACTGACACGCAAAAAATGGATAGTATGTACAAATCTTGCAGATTGATTTCTGAATGATATTCTTAATGTAACGCATCCAAAATTTAAAATAATAGAAAGTTTTACCATTTCCTGAATCACTCTTTATAAGATACGAATTTGAGAAAGTGAGGCATCGTTATGTCTCACAGCGACTGTCGCCGTGGCAGTTTCCCTCAGATCTTTACGATTTAAACCTACTGCAACTGTTATGGACAGGCGTGTCGCTTACCCTTAGGCGTGTACGATTTGCTCGTCCCGTCACTTGATATCATAAAAAAAAACTATAAATATAACGTGAATGAACAGGATAATAAAATATATTTACGATCTCGGAACGAAATAAACACGACCTAAAATAAAGAATGTTAATTTAATCCGCGTCTAGAATAATATGGTATGAAAAACACATTACTGTTCCAGTTCCTAGTAAGGGCTTAGGGATAAAAAAAGTCAATCTATTACGGACACTGGTTCCACTTCTATGCAAATCTATTCCTTCAAGTTTCTATCCGCTACTAGATAAATAAGAGTTTATATCTCTAGCGGTTACTCGCTATGTGTGATGGAGGAACGGAACTTGAAAAGACTGTGGGTATATCGCAGTTCAAACTGAGGAAACAGGATTTTAAATTTAAAAATAATTAAACCAATATAATTATTGAAATGAAATGACATATTTTTTATTTCAGACAGTAGGTATAGTTATGTCCATATGGTGTTACTAGGTACTTAGAACTGTGTTACAAGAATGAAAGTGCTCATTTTCATGAACAAGGATGGACATCCAATAGTTAACGATTGGGGTGTCCATTCTCTCTGCTACCACCTCAAGAAGACTATTGGTGCTGTCTCTCATATATATTAAAAATAATATTTTTTTTAATATATATGAGAGACAGCGTCAGCTTTTTGTAAAAAAGCCGTAAGCGACATTTAAAAATTTTTTTCAGTGGAGCATATTTTAAGTTTTCACAACTGTTTTAAAATATTTACGTCCTGTTTCAATTTCAATTTTAAAACTTCAACTTAATTAAAATCAAAATTGAATTTTAAAACAGTAAATAAATATTTTAAAACAGTTGTTAAAACCTAAAACTTTTTAACTGCCTCTGTGGCGGAACGGTTACTGGTTTACCACGCAGAGATCCCGGGTTCGATTCCCGGGCCGGAAGAAAATTTATATGACCTACATTTGTTTCTCTTGTGAGTTTGGGTATAATTTATGATTGTCTTTATGTGTGTCCATGGCACTCCCGACATAGGGTTTCTGTAGTGCGGGGCTATGAGTGTGGGCGTTATTAAAACATGCTACCGTTTACATGTACATTTGTACAATATACCGACGACATATTCTCGTTTATAGATGGATAATTAAGTGTACAAATAAAAATAATCACATTATTCGGAATAAGATCCATTCAGCCTTTTTTGGAATTTGCAATTTGTGTTTTCGCAATTCGACAATTTTGGATTATGACAGTATTTGGTTTCACGTGAATATATTTACAGGGAAGTATTGCCACCTTATCGATTTCTTCCGCCAAGCAGTAATTTTAGTATTACTGCGTTTCGGCTTAGAAGGGTAAGGGTGCTGGTGAAATTACAGGCACATGGGATTTGTCAACTTATGTCTCAGAGTGACGAGGGCAGTGGCAGTGTCACGCAGATCTTTGCGATTATAAGCTCTGAGTGGCACTGCAACTGTTATGGACAGGCGTGTAGCTTACCACCAAACCCATGCCTTGTCCGTTCCATTACTTGATATTATAAAAAAAAAAAGATAAATGAGGAGTAAGCAGAAATTATTTAGAAATAACACTATTTTAGTGCGTAATAAAACTTGTTAATGTTAATTCGCGTTTGTTTTAATTTTCATAAAGCATATCATATAGGCGCTCTTTTTAGTTCTGGATCAAAATTCTATTGTGTATGGTACTCACCACGGAGTTAAAAAACTTAATTAAAGTTCTGTACACAGAGTTTCAAAAAAAGAACGTCGTATTTTTGCTAATTAAAATATCAATTAATATACTCATACTCAAACATTACGATACTCAAACGCTATGCTGTCTCCTGATTGGTTAAATTGGCCTAAAAATCTTGCAAACGGGCCATAAATCTTAATTAAAAAAATATATACGGTACTTGGCCAGTTCTATTCTATCTCTTTGGTTTTTTGTTTTGTAGCTTTTTTGGTTTTCGTCTAAATACATAAAGAGGATGGCGGAACCTTTGCTTACACTAATAAATGGGTTAAAATTTATAAAAAAAAAATGCGTTTGTTGGTTATGGTTCCGTTTCGTTAATTAATTTATTCTTAGAAAAAGCAATCGTTACATAACTACGTATTAAAATCTCGTACCTATAACTTAGGCCACTCGGCGAAAAAATACTATTAGTTTAGTAACGAGCATATTGACAAAAAAATATACGTAACCTCGAAACTAAACCTCTCAAATACCAAGCTATCGTATTTCAGTATAAAATACAACATTAATAAATAAATAAAATACAAACGCATGAGTTATAAAGCTTCTTAAACTCACCCTCAGTGTTTTTAGCAGCGATTGACAAATTCCAGCAATATTGTTCAAATGTCACGTTTATATTCGGCTTCGGTAAGTGGTGCCACAAATCTAAGATGGTACGGCAAGGCACTAAATATCGGAATAGTGTGGGGGACGAACCCTCAGAGGGTGTTGAGCTATTAGCTAGTTGAGCCACGTATATTATTATTTATTGTTTTACTTTATATTTTCATCACAAATTGGTTGTTATACAATTTAAATGCTGTCACAATCATTAACATTTAACGAGTTCTTAGGTTTACGCGATTATTACACATAAAGAAATAGCGACATCTGTCGCCAGGACTGGTAGCTGTAAAGGTACTAACTGGGTGATAAATCTGTCATAGATTTCTCATAGATGGCGCTACGACTAAAAAGTCGTTGAAAGACCAAGTACAAAGACACGACGCAAGCACATAGAAAAATTCGTGAGGTCCGTTGGTTCGTTCCGTGGCTTAGTTGGTATAGCGTCTGGCACGGTATGCAAGAAGACGTCGGTTCGAATCCGACCGGATCGAAGGAATTTTTTCTAAGTGTTCGATCTTTGTATTAATAATTATAACAAACTAGTGGAGTAATTTCACAAAAAATAATTGAATATCAATTCAATAAAAATTTAATTAATACGTAAAGAAATATTTTTTCGGACCGGATTAGATGCTAATGACCGGATTGGATCACCTCCTTCGGATCGGATCTTCCTTTTCCTGTACGTCTGGTGCACAATGGCACGCATTATAGTGTATTTTTTTTATGATACCAAGACACGGGATGAACAAATCGTAAGCCTGGTGGTAAGCGACACGCCTATCCAATACAGTTGCAGTGCCACTCAGAGCTTTAAATCACAAAGATTTGAGGAACAATGCCAATGCGCTCGTCACTCATAAGTTGTCAAGTCCCATGTGTCTGTTAATTCACCAGCAGCTTCTAAACCCGAACGCAGTAGAGCTCACATTACGTCTTGAACAATAAGAAGATTGAACGCTAAAACGATGGCGGTAGTATCAGTTTTATGTACATGCATATATAAAATCTATGCGTTCACATGTCTCTCACTGGCTAGACAAATACTATGATGAAATCACCACCCTTTAAGTGCTACAAGAAGTAAAGCTTCTTGTGAAAGTGTTCATCCAAGGAAGTACTGTAATCATACCTATTTCTGCCACCAAGCAGTAACATGAGCATTATAGCGTTCCGGTTTTGAAGAGTGCTGGTGAAATTACAGGCACATGGGACTTGACAACTAATGTATCAGGGTGACAGGCGCAGTGGCAGTGCCCCTTAGATCTTTCTGATGTAAAGCACTGAGTGGTACTGCAACTGTTATGGACAGGCGTGTCACTTATTACCTGGTGCGCGACTTGTTCATCCCGACTCTTGGTCTCATAAAATAAAATAACAAACATAAGCAAGAGCTACACTGGCGTATTTTAAATTAATACTTATATCAATATTAGTGTTCCAAATTTAAACAAAAATGTTCAAAAATAACCAGTACTTAATGAACTTGATCAGTTATTACCTGGGATTAAGCAAAACAGCCCCACCAGTGACGTCACCAAAGCCAAGGTGTCCATGTTGTCGTTTTAAAGCCACGTATTCATTTCATTTGTTTTATGCTTTTTGTATGGGCTGACGACACATTCCCGCCGCTGTTTCATCTGTAACAAATTGAGAAACAAGATTAGGATTTTGCTTAATACATTTGGAGAGTGAGTAAAAGTTTATAGAGCGGTGGTAGTCTAGTAGAAGAATGGTTGCTACACAATTGGAAGTTGACGACTTGAATAAACGTTAAGCACGCGTAGTGACTAATGGCATTAAGGCTCTCCTTGAAGGAGACCTGTGCACAACAAAGCATATTGTCTGCAAGTTGAGTGGCTTGCACACCAGTTTTTATGGTGTCACAATCTCTGAGATCCCGGGTTCGATCCCCGGCCGGATCAATGTAAAACTAACTTTTGTTTTTAAACCACTCTCATTGCAATCCCCCATTCCAACTGTTCGATTTCTATCCTAAGGTTGCCTGAAAGAAATGGCTACTTAGCAATAAGGCCGCCTATTGTACATTATCTTATTGTGATACTTACATTACTCTTCTATGTTGTCATTGTAATATTTAATGTGAGAGAAAGAATATTTAATGCATTCAGTCATTAATTCATTCTTTCGGGTCTGGGTGTTTGTGGTACCGTCGATGTTGCCAATTTTCATAACACAAGTGCTTTAGCTACTTACTTTGAGAACAGAGCAACGTAAGTGATATTGTCTAATATATAAAAGCAATCAAATAAGAAACATTTATAACTACTTGAAGATGACATTTGAAAACAAAATATCTGAATGCCTCTAACAAGTTTTTTTTTTAATAATACCAAGTGATGGGACTAACAAGTCGTGCGTCTGATAATAAGTTACACGACTGTTCATAACAGTTGCAGTGCAACTCAGAGCTTGAAGTCGCAAAGAACTGAGGTGCACTGCCACAGCACCTGTCACCCTGAGACATAAGTTGTCAAGTCCCATATGCCTTTAATTTCACCAGCACCCCTTACCCTTTAAAACCTGAATACAGTAATATTGACATCACTGCTTGGCGGCAGAAATAAGTAAGGTGGCAGTACTGTACAGAACGATTTAAGTATATTATTAGAAAAAAAAAAAACTAAATAAATAGGAAAGCACTGTTTTGTTATCGCATAGTGTGACCCGGGCGAATATCAATTCTTTGAGATCGTATGAATTCGTGTGTGTTCTATTTTTTCTGTCACGCAAGTGTTGTGCAAAGGAAATTCTTTACATAACGCTCCCAATTTACAGCCACCTGCTAATTAATTCAGTTTATCTACTTGTTTTTTTAATTCGCTTAGATAAATACAAAACAAAATCGCTATTGTTGGTAAACAAATTCAAACTAAATTTAATTTGTAACCTAAATAATTATACGGAACACAGAACTACTCGCAAATGTTATTAACATCCATGGCGTTCGTGCGCTATTAATTGCAAATTATTGCTGATTGTTCAACATTATTATCATTAAACCATTACACTGGGACCAGGTGTTGTCTAAGATCGCCCCCATGTTGTGGACATTCAACAGAATGGTGAAATTCCATGCCTGAAGGCTTGAATAAGCTTTAACGCCTAAAGCCTGAACGGAATAACTTAGGCTTTTTCAAGGAGAGAGTGAATGGGCATTATTTAGGTGGAAATGCTCATCGATGACTTTATTTTATCAGGTTTTACATTCTTTATCAGGTGAGTTAGAGGCCAAACGCGATTTAATTAACATATTATGCCCCAGTTTTGGGCAAAAATCTCTCCCAAAATCTTCCATTGCCCTCTGTTTTTGCCAATCTTCCACCACTCCCTGTTTAACCCATCAAGGTCGTCCCGCCAACACATTACACAAAGAGTAACGACGTTCACCCACTTCTCAGGTTGCATTGAGCCTGATTGTTTTGCTCCCCATATTTATATTATTGCGTACTCGGTCAATTAATAAAAAAAAAGTAGAGGAGATACATTGGACTTATCAACTTATGTCCCAGGGCTGACGGGCACAGTGGCAGTGCCCCTCAAATCTTAGAGCTCTGAGTGGCACTGCAACTGTCATGGACAGGCGTGTAGCTTACCATCAGGTCGACGACTTGTTCGCCCCGTCACTTCATATTACCTATAAAAAAAAATCTTCGACAAGCAAGTTTTATAACGATGTTTTTCTCAGTGACAGATTCTTCTATACACTAAAATTCTCAAATGTGAGTATTTTAAACATAAAAGTTACAGGTAAGCCACAGGGATTCGAACCAACTACCTCGCAAATGAGAAGCGACCGTTCTCCCAGTAGGCTTCCACCTCTGGTCTACCGTTATCCAATTTTAATTTTAATGTCCAATCTCGTAAGCCCAAAAGGGCTTATGAAATTCAAAGGAAAGCCTTTATTCAATAATACGTAACCAGTTAACGTGGCCCCGGGCCCCACCTTTGGGGGTAACGAACATAGTTACCCCTACTATCGTTTTCGTCGAGTTTCGTTCGACTGTCAAGAGACAACGGGTTTTGCAACGAGAGCGCTTCGAACCGGAGGTACTCGAACGTAGCACTTTTTAATCATTCTATAATGATGTATAAAAGGATAAGGGTTTGGAAAAAATACGAACTAATGGAATGACGAAAACTTCAAAACAAACCGTAAGTGAAAAGTGGCTAAATTTGCAAATTAATATTTTAAAACTTACATAATAGATTTTTAAAAACATATACATGCCACATAGCAAATGCCAAATATGATATACGATATGTTAGTTTTTTATCACTTTTATAGAAAAGTATTTAGTATTTATGACTTTAACATGGAAGATTTGATATGACCTATCAGTTACTGTTATTAAAAGCCGTGAATCCGGACTCGCACCTCTGAGTTTTCTGAATTGATGTGTAAAATTTTATTTGAAATTTACCATGAGCTTTTCGGTGAAGGAAAACGTAGTGAGAAACTCGCACGGCGAAGAAGGTTCGCAACTCTCGAAAAACATCTGACGTGTCCAAGCTGCATTAGGGCAGCGTGGCGGACTATAAAGCCTTAAACCACCGCGTGAGAAGAGACCCTTGTCCAACAGAGGGACGTATCCGTTACTTGTTACTGCAAGAACACCGGTAACGCAAAACACGTTAAACTGCATATGGGGCCGAACGGTTACCATTCTGATCGGGAGAAATATTTGCATGTCCTACATTTATTTCTAGTGCGTTCGGGTGTAATTGGTGGTTGTCTATGTGTATGTCCATTGCACTCGCAATACAGGGTTTCCCTGGGGGCTATGAGTGTGTGCGTTGTTATTTATCAGCAGTAGAGCTCCTTGTGAAAGACTTCGTCCAGGGAAGTACTGCCACCTTACCTATTTCAGCAGTAATGTCAGCATTACTGTGTTCCGGTTTTGAAGGGTAATAAGGGTGCTGGTGAAATTACAGGCACATGGGACTTGTCAACTGATGTTTCAGGGTGCAGTGGCAGTGCCTCTCAGATCTTTGCGATTTAAAGCTCTGAGTGACACTGCAACTGTTATGGACAGGCGTGTAGCTCACCATCGTGCGCACGACTCGTTCGTCACGTCACTTGATATTATTTAAAAAAAATAGAGTTAAATTTGAAGGTTCTGGCATTCCTAAGAATAATCTAAATTCATGTTAAAATTACTGCTACAACCTAACCTAAAGAGTAGAGGATTACAGAATTATCTCACTGTTTGAAAACGCCAACGCCAGAAGGCCTTCATAATCAAATTATACAAATAAACAGCCACGGGTAGCCCTCAAACAGGCCCTGGCGAGCGGCGACACTTCCTTGGCCCTAATATTTATTTAGATTATTAAGCAGACCGTAAACATCTGTCAAATAGACGTTACAAAACTCTTCAACCCATCTTAACATGTCCAAAAATATTTAATCTATCTTCATTAAATTAAACTTTAAGCTTTAGACGTAAGGCTTATAATAAATCTTAAATATGATTGGACGTTGAAATCGCACTTTTTAAAATACAGCGAAGACTTGTCATGTTTATAGTGTCGAAATTGAAGGAGACATGTGTTGGGAAATAAAACTTTTGAAGATGAGATCACCGGAATAATAATAAAGTCGTCCGAGTTTAATGACACTCAAACGTCATGTCAAGCATTTAAGTGATTTCAAATATTTGAAATTTTAAAAAGTGAATGGCATTTGATATATTTACGTTTTCGTAACTTTACCAGTCGCCTCAAATTTAGCAGCGAGGCGCTTGTTGCATCTTCTTTTTCATTTTTAGTTTACAGAAATGTAACCTTATCATACAGAAAATAAAGTTTATATTGTATTGCTTGTTTATGCATAGCATTGCGTCATTTTGAGACGACGACCATTATTAAGAAAAATCTATTTCCTCTTACAGATGGCGGTACGGCAAAGAAAGGCGTTGGAAACCAAAAACAGAGACCTGGAACAAGTCCGCTGGTTCGTGGCTTAGTTGGCATTGCATCCAGTACGGTTTGTTGGAAGACGTTGGTTCAAATCCAGCCGTATCGAAGGATTTGTCTTGGTGTTTGATCTTTGCATTAATAAATATCACAAAAATAATTGATTATCATGATAGTGAAACATTCAATAAAAACTTAAAAATTGCGACCTTTATTCTTGAGAAGCTAAGTTACATATTGTATGGCAAGATGCATTGCGCAGTTTTACTATTTTGTTATTTCGCATCTGAAGAAATTTGTACTTTATCTTGTAGATAATGTATTATATTATTGTATTGTATTTTGCAAAGAGCTCGACAAGCAGCGCTGCTGCTAACTATATCTTGTTACGAATTATTTGTATAAGTTTAACCTTATCGTGAAGAAGACAAAGTTTAATCTAAGTACATTGCTAATTTTAATGCTGCGCAGGTTCGAGGTGATCCTATTTGTTATTTGGAACGCAGATTCCTCGTAGAATAATGAATAAGAAGCCGTTTTAAACACCAAACTATAAAATAAACATCAAGGCTTTACCGGATCATAATAAAATTACAAGTACAGTATTAACAAAACA